TTGAGGATTTTAGTCTGTCACCCTAAAGATTCTCCAATTCTACACCTAACAAAGTATATTTCCCTATTTATTTTCACTTAATTCCATGAACGAAGTTCTCCTTCATGGAATCAAATGCGATCCTCACTCAAATTTAGAACTCATACTCCATTTTCCGGATCATATGTTTAATTAAGTGCCATATGATCCGAGAAATGTATAGGTTAACTCCGCTTTAGAACTTATATCTTAGAGTGGGGAGAAAGATAAATTAAACTACTTAGACTTCATGAGAAAGATAGAACAAGAATGACGGGAAGGATTTTATTTTGCTTAGATTCCTTGCTGAAAAGAAAGATGTTGACGTGCATTATAATTTAGATAAATGAGAAGTAGAGAATGGGAAGAATTTTATATTTCTTAGGATATGATAGTATTTCTCCATTGCAAAATATTTTCGAGATATATTATTTTCTTAACACTATTTAGGGTTCGTTTGGGGCAGCTTGTGCATTTTAGGATAAACTGCTTATCCTGAAACGCAGCCCGCGTGTGGCTCACGGGTCGACCCCCGTGGCCTACGTTTAGTGTAAAAACTCAAACGCAGTTTTGGATAAACAGGCAAAACGCGTGAACTAAACGGTACGGCGACATTTTGAAAACGCCGCCCGCACTTATAAGTTGCCCCAAACGGACCCTTAATCTCACCACAAAACTCTAAATTATAAGAACAATGGACACTAAATGGTTGTGGAATGAAAATGGAGGAATGTGTGATGCGTAGAGGGTTGAATTGGGGCGATGAAATGTCAGGAAGAGTCACTTTTTTTATCAATTTCGGCCCCAAACAAAGCTTAGAGTCGGTTCTCCAACAGGTGCCTCCAAAAACTCTTCAAAAAGTGTCCAGATTCATCGAATCTTCTAGAAATAGGGGTTGAACCGACATTTGCACCGTCAGCGCCCATTTTGGTGCTGTCAGTGCCAGTGTTCCGTTATTTAATTTAATGCTTTCTATCAAACGGCGCCGTCAGCACTGCTTTTGGTGTCGTCGGCACTGAACAAATTTTCATCTTCTTCATTTTTGCTCTAAATTTTATATTTTTTTGTTTCAAGTCCTAAAATTCAATAACCTGCAAGAAAATATAAAAATATCTTCTATTAAAGTGCAATATCACCAAAAATGAGTAGTGCAATATTAAAGTGCAATATCACCAAAAATGAGTATAAAATATGAGTCTAAAAATGTATATATTTTTGATATGTTAGTACCCAACCCGGTTACCTCTACCTTCTAGGGGTTACTCCTTTCTTTCTTTGACTACCTCTATTAAGCTCTATCTCTTCTTTTACCTTCATTGGTATCATCTCGACGGCCTGATTACCGATGAGATGTCACCCATTTGGGATACAACGATTTGTCATTTGCTCTTATGACCTGGATGTTCTATGACGTATTGGGATTCTCCTTCAAGATGACCAATTAATTTGTAAGCTTCGTTTGTAGATGAGTTTGTTACCAATGTGGGGACTATGAAAGATTCACTCTTCGCCTTGTGGTTTAGCGGGAGCTTTGAAAGAATCAGAATATTCTCATGTGAAATATTTGTCCCTTGATAGCTCTGTGCTAGTTTTACTACTAATGTAATCAAAACTTCTTTGGATCAAGATTATTTTTGGGCAACCCCCAAAATGTAATTAATCAGATGAGATATATTCTCTTGGGAACACTCTGGACCCCATAACAAATAAAAATACATCTAAGTCTTTGATTATGGGTAGTCTACATAGGTATTCTTTTGCGGATATTGGTTCAAGGTATCTACGCCCAATCTTATTTGGACGGACATACCTGACCTATCCTTACAAGGTTTATCGCATGTGGGCTCTCTATATTTTCTTTATCTTTGTTTGTTTTCTTCTTCACATGTCCATATTTTTCAAATTTTTTCTTCTCCAGATTATTCTTACTATCTGGAATAATGAATTATTTGGAAAAAGGAATTATAAAATGATAAACAAACTGACGAATCATTCAAAAATGAAAAAAGAGATAAGAAACAAAAACATTATTATATATAAAGAACCAATTGTAATGCATACATCATTTTTATGTATATCTAGAATAGAACTTTAAAGCTTCTCTTTTTCTATAACAAATTTTATCAGCTTCAATATACTCGTTAAAATATATAATTTTTTTTGTTAACATAATCAATATAGTCTAATTTATAATATATCAAAATTTAGGTGGTAAAAACTATGTAAATCACTATACTTAGTTATGAGCAAGATTGGAACATAATCAAATAAAATATCCAAATCTTTAAAAAATGCCATGAAATTAAAATCTTAAGTGAGAAACATTAGTATAGTTAGAGCTGAATAATTTTTCTTACTGTGGAGATGAATGAAATTGGTTCCATAACCTCTGAAATCAGCTTTGAAGCTTTCTCTAGCTAAATATCTCATTTACTCTCCATATATCTCATGACTAAATGTTCTACGGATGGGGAAATGAGCAATAAATGTTATATGGGAATGATGGGAGAATATATTTCTATAAAAAAAAATACTTTCATAATTATATAAAAAGGATATAAATGTAATTATATAAATATTTTATTTAAATTATAATTTCTAAATAAATCTTTTTATATAAAACTCCAAAATTTTTCAAAAAACAATTAATAAGTAGTGTATTATGTATAGAATATGCTGATAAAAATGATTTGCAAAAGACACATCAGATGATTCTAAGAAAATTGCTTTTAAAAAGTGTTTCTAAAATTCAAAGAAATATTTTTAATATGAAATCTTTTATTTTATACCAATGATGTTTTCAAAAAAAGAATAAAAATATATTTAAAATAGATTTTAGAGTGCTCTACAATTTGATAAAGATGATTTATGAATGGGACATAAAACACATTCAAAAAAATTATCTTCACTTACTTAATGAACTTATAGCAAAACTTATTTAAAATAGATTTTAGAGTTTTACTGGTGAGTTCACCATAAGTTTTGCTACAAGTTCATTACAAGTTTTGATATGGTGGGCTAGACCATGTTCATGCTTATCTTAACTAACTTTAGTGAACTGACAAGTTGTCTAACCTTCAGCATATTTGGGTATACAATTTCAACGATGAAAAGAATAAAAAAATAGCAGAGATAAAAATTATCTAAACTTAGTAGAAAGCACTGTTGTTTAATTTGAAACACTTTGCCTAATGGAAAACATAATTTATTCTTAGACTCTTCCCACATAATTGCTTATTATGTTAATTAGCTCAACATACCACACACTCCTTGATATGCAAGACAAGCAATTCTTGCTATTTCTTATGATAAACTCGAGTCTTACAAAAATAACCATCTATAAGTTCCTTGATTGTTTATCTTATAAAATAGAAAAAAGTTCGTTTTGCAACTCAATGAAAATCCTTTCAATTAAAAGGATGTGTATTGCATCCTCTGCTAAATTCAGCTCCACATATTCTCATCCAAATTTTGTTTTTTTTTTCTCCTAATCACCAGCCTCTATTCTCACTTTGCAAGAATAATCTACTTATCTTACCTAATCACACCACACATCCACTCAAACAATCACAAAGCAGGAATAATAGCAATAGCCATCTCCCTGTTACCTAACTGCTCCTCCCTTGAATCCTCCTTGTTTGTCTGCTGCACATGTGCTCGGCATGAAGGGCAGCTTGAGTGAGAATATAGCCACATATCCACGCACGGAGCATGAAATGAATGCCTGCATGCGGGCAACTGCCGCACTTTTTCTCCTTCCTGGAACGCCGTAAGGCAAACAGAGCACTCAGTACTGAATGATTGCTCTTCCTTGTACCTGCAAACTGGTATAATTTCTACAACTTTTGGTTCTTTTTTGATGCAGCATGATCTGAAACAATGCAACAAAGACTCCATTCGCATACATCCGCAGTTTAATAGAAGGGTGATTGCAATGGCTGCCAAGATGAAACTGGCGATGAAGAGGAGGAAGTAACTGTCGAAGTTGGAGGACGAGTTTAATGGTGGGGGAGGAAATGCCATTTTGGCTGGGGTTTGTTTGTTTGCATGCTGAGAGAAATTATGCGAGGGATAAAGATTATATATGTGATGGGGTGGAAAATGATTTGCTTGAGAAGATGTTTGGAAGGATGTGTAAAGTTCGATTGCGAGGTCTTCTTGTGAGAACCGGCAAGTTAGATGGTAAATATCTTAATTTTTTGATATTTTTTTTTATATTTGGTTTGTGGAATTTGCAGAATTGGTTGATGGTTGTGCGTGGATGACGAGTTAAGTTGCTGATTACTTTTCTGCTTGCGGAGATGATATGATAGTGTTCTCTCTTTTTTTTTTTTTTAAGAAGGAAATTCTCTCTAATATTTTATCTAAATTTTAATTATATGTGATTAATTATAAATTTTGAATCACATTTGGGTTAAGAATATTTATTTTATTATAAATTTTTTTTATTTTTTTGTGCTGGATTTGTCGGAGTTTGGCCATATGATCAATATTTAAAAGATAAATTTTATCCCATTTGAAGCAAAGGCTTTTGATAGCTACTTCTAAGTTTTGTCATTGTATATGGTGATGGGCAGTTGTGATGATTTAAATTTGATTAAAGTAATAGTATGTCAGTTTCCTGCTACCCGGCTGATTGAATGAAAAAAATTGAATGAAAAAAATGAATAAATTGATATAGGTGTAGTAAGGCTGCGAATGAATCACTCGTGAGTGAACGATTTATTGATTACTGTGTGAGATGAGAGTATGAAAACTTCTTTGTATATTTGTAAAGTATATATTTATAAGGGTGGATGAAATGATCATGTCACATATAAGTGAAATTATGGTGATATATTTATAAAGTATGTACTTATAAGGGTGGATGAAATGATCATGTTACTTATAAGTGAAATTATGGTGACGTGGCAACTCCATCAACTTTGTAAGTACATACTTACAAAATATGCAATATTTTCTCCACAAAAAAAAAAAAATATTAATACTGGATTGGCTTGATTAATTTTATATTATTAATTAACAAAAAAGGTTTAAATAATTTTATGAATAATCTGTTTTTAAATAAACACATAAAACTAAAAAGACTCCATTTAGTACTTCTTCTTAATAGATATATATATATATATATATATATAGATGAACTAATGGGCTAATAAAACTTTTATCGATTTTTAGTTATATATGAACTTCAACACCAACAAAAAAGATTTTATGGGCTTTTCCTATTCTATTTGAATGCTTAGGCATGCTAGCTATCAAACATTTAATACTACATCGTTTGGCTTGTAAATGATGAATTGTGTAGCTTGTAAATGATGAATTATTTAAATGGAAAGAGAGAATTGTGTAGCTTGTAAATGATGATGAGGCATGCTGATCCTGCTTCATAAGATGAGATCTTATGGCTGATTTTAAACGTTTGTTAAATTAAAGTTTTATATTTTGACATGGTAAGTCTCATTTACATTTCTAAACCCTTAATAAGTTTGTTTTAGGAATTGCAGTGTATTATGAATACCCAATAATTGTTGGGCTGTCTGTAAATTAAAGTTCGTAGAATTCCTTAATTTTTATGTTTGATTAGGTGTATGCAAAATACATTAAACATAGTATATTCTAAATAATTAAGGGTTCATCAATTATAAAAGAAAAAACAGAGTGATTCTATTTTTTTTTAGTGTAAATTATCATGTGATTTTTATGAAATTTATATATTTAATGTTGTGAACTATACCAGTTGATGTGGTACATATATAAATCAAACAGGAGAACGATCGACGAAGCGAAAAATAAAACGAGTAAATTCATACCAGAAAACAGTAACACAACGGAACACACAGATTTACGTGGTTCGGAAAATTCCCTACGTCCACGGAGTTTCAGAGAATTTTACTACTTGAGGAATTTACATCAGTCGATCGTCTCGACTTACAAGAGGAATCTCTCACTTCGTTGCTCTCTCTTCTTCTTTCTCTTTTCTTCTCTCTCTACACCAAGATACACCGAAGAAACTCTACACCGAGATACACCGAAGAAGATAAACTTATAAGAGAAATAAACCCAATTTTTTTTCTGCCACAAGCCACCAAGAAGAAGCCAAGGGAGAACAAGCTTCTTCTTCTTTTTTCTTCTTTCTTCTGCTGCAAGGAACTACTTCTTGCACTTTCTTTCCTCTATCCCGAGGAAGCCCGAAGAAGAACACAAATAAGGCCGTGTCAAATTTGAAGGAGAGTCGTGTGATACCTCGCAATACCTTTCTTCCTCTTTTGAACCACATAGTCGATGAAAGGCAAGGAAGATATTGTTCTGTTCACAACTTATAACAAGCGAAGAGGTGCTTCACTTCACGGAAACAAGGAAGGCGGGAATGGTTTCGCGAACAATAGGGAGGCGGGAGCGGGAATGCGGGATCAGGCGGACCGGGCTCCATCTCAACATTTAATATTTAGAAACTCATATTTATTTATATAATATTTAATACCAAATTACATTAAAATATACACACAATTAACATATATTTTATATTAAACGAGTACTATATGTGTTCGTACCTGCGGGTGCTCACAATACATCATAAATTAGCAAGGTTAAGAAGATTCCCAATTATAAGACTTATCCACTATCCTGAGAACAGATCATTTTTGACAAAAATTGTGACTCTATACCATAGATTTAAAACAGTCAATATGCAATAAAACCTCCAAAGTTCCACTTGAAAACAAGAAAACATTGAAGCATTCAGCCCAAGCCTGCAAAAAAAATACAAAGTATGAACTTACATGCACAAACCCCCTCTTCACCTTTACACAGTCAAGGGAAGTTCAAAATATATACAAATTAACTAACAAAATCCTAAATCTCTTTGAATTCCAATCAAGTATGTGCAGAAGCCATGGAACCTCATTTTCCAAGCTCGCGACCCACATAAATCAATCTTAATTGCAAACACTTCCATGGTATTATCATTATTAACCACATGGAATAGCAATGAAACCCAAGCTCTTATTTCATGTATAAATGAATAAGCACGAGAGATGTTCAGATGGTCATTTGACACAGATGCACTAACATGAATATTCATCTTAGGCTATATCTCTCCATTGACACGATATGAGCAGACAGGAGGTTAGATTGTTGCCATCTAGAAGATCAAAGATAGATTTTAGAACTTCATGATCCACAATGCGGTGTCACATGCATTAATCACTTAAAATTACATGTTGATCAAGTAGTATTTAAATCATGATTTTTAGCTATAGATTCATAAGAAACATATTATGTTTTAAATAATTTTAATTACTAGTATAATAATCCAAATTTTAGTTAAAAAAGTTTTGAATTTAGCGGGTTGTAACCTATTTTAAAGTAAAAGAATAAAGTAAATTGAAAGAGTTTTCCTACTGGTTTGAAGATTTTTTTTGAATTGGTTTCAGTAAAACCTAAGTTACACTAAGTGATTCTTCCATTACAGTAGAGAATTAAAGCCTAATACTTCTTATTCTCTTCTGAAACATTGTAACAAATAATGTTTGGGGTTAGTATTATAGTTAAGTTTCCTTAACCCTACAAGAACTCCAAAGAATCCACATTCATCATTCCTATTATACTAAACACATGTGTTTTAACCTACTTGTGCTTCTAATATTCTTCTGATAGCCCTAAATTAAAATGATTTTTAACAATACATTGATGAATTTGAATATAAATGAAGCTTGGTAAGTTAAAACATCAACTTAGGTATTCAAAATTTCAAGAATCTAATATTAATATTCTTAGATTTAAAAGAAAATAGAAATAATATAATTGTTAAACTTGACTAAAAATAAAAACAAGAGTTGCATTAGATTTTTAAACCTAATATCACAAAATAGAAAGGGAATGTGGATACTCAGTATGATGAAATCTTACTCCCAAGCGTAGATCATCCTCCTTTTCTCAGAGAAAACCCTCACACTATATCACTCTAAAACACTCTCCAACTTGTTGATCTATGTTACGGTGAAGAAAACACATTTATCAAGTAAATATATGTGTCGATCAAATAATATAAAGATTATAAGTTCAATTTATCAGTCACAAGAGAAACTTTGTTAATTTTTAAATAAGTTCAGGTACTAGTTTACTAATCATAAGTCTAGCTCAAAAGATTTAAGATTTTCTATTTTTAAAAAATTCTAGCACCTAAAAATAAATTAAAGTGATTGAAAGTATTTGTTTATTGGTTTGAAACTCTTCCTTAAATTGGTTCAGTAGATTCCATTGTACTATATTGAGTGTCACGTTTTCAATTAATTCAAATAGATTAAAATCATTTTTTATGCAATGTGCCAAAGTCTTTTCTAGGCCTACCTCTACCTTTCTTAACATAAATCTAATCTAAAACATCTACTCGCCAAATTGAAATATCAGATGGTCGACGTTTAATGTGACCAAAACATCTAAGTTGAATATCTCTAATCTTGTCTGTCGTTGGAGCTACACCAACTCTTTCAAGGATATATTCATTTTGCATTTTGTCTCATTGTGTCAATCCAATTCCAACAACACTTAACTTTGTTTTATACTTCTCTTTTAAAGGCCAACATTCTACTCCATAAAACATTACAGGTCTCCGCACCATCTTATAAAATTTTTCACTAAGTCTAAGTGGTATTGTTCCATCACACAACAAGCCTGATGCATTCCTCCACTTTGACCAACCAAACTGAATTCTACTAATAATATCCTTATATATATAATCATCACTTTGAAAAATTGACCCGAGATATCTAAAATGTTAACACATTTTAATAATTTGATCTTTCATAGTTACAACTCTGCCACTAAAGCTACTACAGCTAAAATTATATTCCATATATTCAGTTTTAGATCTACTCAAATGAAGGCCTTTAGACTTCAATGTAAACCTCCAAAATTCAAGTTTTTTTCCTAAACAACCTCCAAAATTCAAGTAATTCAAGTTTTTTTCCTAAACACTTTCTCTAGTTATATCCACAAGAAAGATATAATCAGCGAAAAACATACACTAAGGTACATCCTCATATAAATGTCCAATAAAAGCATCCTTAAATAAATTAAAAAGATATGGACTTAAAGCTGATCTCTGATGTAATCCAATTAGAATAGAAATTTTTTTGTCAATCCTCCTATTCAAACACTTGTAACAAGTCTAGTACACATATCTTTAATAACCTGAATATAAGCCATATAAATATAATCTTCTCTAGAACTCTCCAAAGGAATTCTCTAGGAACCTTATTGTAAGTTTTTTTAATCAGTAAAAATCATATGTAGATCCTCCTTACCCTCTATGCGCTTCTTCATCAAACCACTCAATAAATGTATTTATTTCATTGTAGACTTGCCTGCATAAATTTAAATTGATTATGAGAAAAATTTGTATCATGTCTTAACCTATGTTCAATTATCCTTCCCAAAATTTTAAAGTACGACACTTTAACTTAAATCCTCTATAATTTGGACACTCTTGTGCATGACATTTATTCTTAAAAATGGGGACCAAAATACTCTTCCTCCACTCTTCAGAGATTTTTTTTTAGTTTATAAAATAATATTAAAGAGTTTGATAAGCCAAGAAACTACCAAATCTTCTAAATATATCCACACTTCAATCGAAATATCCTCAGGATCTACAAAATTTCCACAATTGGTTTCTTTTAAAGCCTCCTCAACTTCTTCTTTACTAATATGACTATAAAAATAAATTTTTTTATCACTACTAATGATATTGAGATCATTATAATTGATCGTATTTTTAAAAAATTAATTGAAAATTTTAACAAAATGACCACATTTGAAGAATTTAACCAAAGAATTTATGTGCTTGAAGGAAACCCAAAAATATTTGTAAATGGGTGACACCACTTTAGAAAGATTTGTTATAGATAAGTATACCATAAAAAATTATCATAATAAAATGTCGTAAATATAAGTTAAAAATGTTGTTTATAATTTCTTGAATAATAAGGGTGTTGGATAATCCAAATTGCATGACAAGAACCTATAATAGCTCTGGTGTGTATATATAAAAAAAAGGAATGTTTGCATCCTCATGCAAATTTGGTGAAACCTTGCATGTAAGACCAATTTCAAATAGAATGCGGTGCAAATAAATTTTTCTAAATGTTTACCAATGATAATAAAAGAAAACAATGTATCATGACAAGTTGGTTTGAAGGGCAACAGTCCACAAAAATTTAATATAATATTTACTTTATTGAAGAATAATACTTAAAAGGAAAATAAACTATGCCCTGAATGTATGAAATATGGACTGAGCATTTCATAGACAAAGATTTTGATCTCCCTCTTTTGAATGTTTGGATAGTAAAAGAATATAAAACTAAATGGCTTGTAGTTGGATTATAAAGTCCAACAGTTGTTTATATCACGATATGGAGATAGGGTTGTTTGTGTAGCAACAACTTTTGAATATTTAGTAAGAAGATCATAATTTTAAAAGAAAGCAAATGGAGGAGATTGGAATTCACAAGTGGTATTTTGTAATATTACACAATAAGCTTCCAACAAATGAGGGGGGGGGGGGGGGTGCGCTTTTTATGATAACTCTCTTTTTTCTCAAGATATTTTATATAAATTTATTTCTTGTCCAAGGTTTCATCCACAATCATTACATCTAAATGAATGATAAATCTAAATTATTAACATAAAAGCTAGAAATAGAGCCAACATAGAAAAATTTTGAGGTTGTATTTGATTGTTAATAAAAAGTATTGATTGATGAGATAGCATGGTCATAGTCATCCTTTAAATCTCTATATATAGAAAGGTCAGGGTTGAATTTCATTGGATTGATTACATATAAATAAATTTAGATATAACAATAGATTTTTATAAAATTAATTACTTTAGCTATCTGACCTGTAACTATTATAGTACATAAGAAACTCATAATGAGCTGAACAAGTAAAGGACAAAGTCTTTGAGAAAGAGTTTTCCTTAATTATGTCTCTGTGATTTCACTTTAAGCTAGTGTGTAATTTCTTATATCTTGAGCTGGTTAGTTCACATGTTGAATTGATGACTTCAATCGAAGAATTCATTAATATTGAATACTATTTCCTTCAACAAATTCAGTTTGTATATACAATAAAAAGTTATATTGTAAATTTTAGAGGGAACTTGCCAAATAACTTTTTTTAGGCCACTCATTTAATTAATGACGGCTTATTAATTAAACTCAATTCATAATAATAACATGACTTGATTAACTCAAGTATTCAACCTAGAAATATATGTACATGGTCAACATTAAGATCTTTTACAATTTTGATAAATACTGAGTACCCACTTTTAAATCATTAGTGCATTACAATGAGGAAAATTAAAAACAATGGAAATATAAGTTATATAAATTTGATAGACATTTGAAGATATTGCACATACATGCCAATGAATTCCTATATGTTCACATATCTAAAATGTTGATTCTTACAACTAACATTAAGTTACTTATACAACATCATAACTTCTTAGTGACATAAAAGAATACCACTAACATTAAGTTACTTAAAAAGAAACAAATTTTCTCATCCATATATTTTTATGTAATATAACAATTAGAGTGTTACATAAAGGAACATAAAGATCTATGTATTTGATGCATGATATATAAGAGTTCAATGCTTTCCATGTACCCACCTTCCCTCCAACTTCACCTCCCCACCTCAGCTCGACAAACCGGACAAGTAGAATGCAGTGGAAGCCACTTGTCAATACATTGCACGTGAAAGCAATGCATGCATTCCGGCAGCTTGCGAACCCCATCACCGTCGTTGAACTCCACCAAACACACCGGGCATGTTTTCTCCTCGCCGGCGTCAGCACATCCGGCGGCCGCTCTCTCTTCCTTCCCATAGATTAACGTCGGAGAAATCGGCTGCGCCACTGAGATCTCGACCACGTTGTCGACGATGTCTTCCGGCTGCCGGCCGCTAGAGGTGTTCCGACGCCTGTAGAAGCCCCAGTTGACAGCAACCCAGTGATAGATTGTAAGTAGCGTGGCTGCAAGTATCATACAGAGGAGAGCGATTAGGAGGGAGGGGAGGGAGCTCCGGCTATCTACTGGCATTGTTGGTTGGTAAATGCTGGATGGATGTGAGAAATTAATAATCTCTTCTCATGTAATAGAATTCATTTGTTTTACATTTGTCATACAAATAAAATCAAATTTATATATAGTATTTAAATTTATTTGGAATGTAAAAGTATAATATAGCTCACAACGTTGAGTGGAGGAAAAGAAGCAAACAGGGTTAAAGAAGAGTATAAACGGACCGAAACTGCAGTGTTAATTGTTGACCGAGTGATTGTAAGAGTAGCTTAGCTTGCACGCTCTGTAGCTTTGTAGTTTAAGTGATCACAAAATCTGATTGTTAATGATGCAAGTGTTGTTCTTATAGTTATCACGAGTTTCTTGAATTGTCTTGTAAAATAAATCAAAATTTTAAAATTGGTATAATATGATTCCTAAGTGATGGTGATATAGATGGGGATGTTATTTGTAAAATGATTCTAAATTTTAAAATTTGTAAAATGATTCTAAATTTTAAATTTTGCAAAAGATGATTTTAGTGGCAGAGTTGTAATTATGGGTGATTGATTCATTAAAAGGTTGAACGTGTTAGATATCTCGAATCTATTGTTCAAAGTGATGGTGATTTAGATGGGGTTGTTATTAGTAGAATTCAAGTTGGTTGTTTGAAGTGAAGGAATCAATTGATCTTATTGTGTCATAAAGAAGTACCACTTAGACTTACATGAAAATTTTACAAGATGGTGGTGAGACACACAACATGTCAGTCTTTAAAAGAGAAGCATAAAACAAAGTTAAGTGTTGCTGACATCAGAATGCTTAGGATGATGAGTGGCTTGAAACTTATAGAGAAATGTGAAATGAATATATTTGTGATAGGGTTGGTGTAGCTCCACTGATAGACATGATTAGAGAGAGTCATCTTGGATAGTTTGGCCACATTAAATGTTGACCATCTCACGATGATCCGATTAGGAGAGTAGATATTTTAGATTCAACTTTTTTTAAGAAAGGCAGAGCTAGACCTAAAAAGACCAGGAATAATTATATAAAAGATGATCTTAATCAATTAGAATCAAATGAAAATAAAACACTCAATACACTATATGACTTAAGAAAATTTGCATAGGACAAATCGGACTTGAATTGAAGGAAAATCCGATGATATTTTAGGATTTCTTGTCGGATTTGCGTTCAATTTACGTCTGATTTTTTTCGCATGTAAAACAGAAGTCAGTATGTTAATTCCATCAATTTTGATTCAAAATATTCCGACGCAAATAATTTGCGTCGGTTTTTACGTTATAATAATGTCAGATTTTCTTAGCCTACACGTGTGTCGAAGTTTGTGTCTAAAAACATCGAATGATAAAGAATATATTTAGATTATCGTTGAATTTGTGGCGGATAATATTGATGAATGATAAAATATTATTAACATTTTAGTGTCAGATTCTTTGACGGAAAATGGACCCCAATCCGACGTAAACATGCACCACAGAAAAAAAATTTAGAAGATCAATTACATTTCCACAGCCTGTACGCAACATATAATCCACATCATATACCACACTATATTCAGTTATATCACATATCAAAACTTTAAAAAACATCTTTAATGAAAAAGAAAATGCTGTCACAAATCGTCATAAATAAGAATAATAAAGTTAACAAAAAAAATCCACAATAAATATTCAAAATAAAGCTTATAAATAAAAGAAAACATAAAATGAACTACATATCATCTCTCTCCTCCTCGTGCTCCTCCACTATAGATGTCAATGGCAGCTTACCCCAACTATTTGCAAAAATTTCCGCCATGAGTGATATAGAGTCCTTGATCCTTTGTTGGCCTTCTAGCACCTGCACACGCAACTGACAGATCTCTTCATTCATTGCAGCCACTTGCTTGGCAAGAGCTTCCTAGTCTGATTGTGAGATGCTCGGGGAACTCATTACGGGACCACAGGAGAGCTCGGCCTCGAAGGTTATGTCCTTCACTCCAAGGCCATAAACCCTCCCCTTCTTCTTCCCCACCTCCTAGGTCTAAAGCTCGTACTCTAACTGCTCACTGGTAGGCTGATTACCACTTATGTTGGCTGAAGTCTGGGCCTGAGTGGCTATATGCCTCTCAAGGAGTAGCTCGAAATCCTCCTGCATACTTTAAACCAGTGTTTAATTGACACTTTCAATAGTTACAGTTAAAATAAACTTTTAATTGAAGGTTTTAAACTTACAACAACCTGTCAGAAATGCCCTGAGACCTACTACGCATTCCCTGGGTGCCGATGAGTTTGGACATGCAGCTTCGCAATGGAGGGAGCACAACTCAACTCCTTAACTCGTGTAGCGTATATAATTGGTTAGCTTAACAAATTTACTTCAAAGATTGAATTAATTTTTTAATATTTAAAAGAATTTTGCCAGCCTACTATAGTACTCCGTATGAGGGATTGATCCGCCAATATGGAGTGCAGCTCCCCTGGCTCCCTTCATAAACTAGTTCATCCGATTTTTCTGCCTATTTCTCTCATAATCAGGTAAGACTTAGGTTGTGGCAAATTGACCACAGAGCTCCTCAGCTATCCAAGCAGGTTGCTCGCCCCTCTGATGGGCTATCGTGAACATGTCTCCAAGGTGATGCTTGCCCTGAATCTCGAAGATTCGGTTGATCTAATGATGTTTCTCTGAGAGTCAATGAAAGGCATCTACAATGTAAAAAATAATTCATATGTTAGTATAAAAATTTAAATCAATTTTATAAATTTGATTCAAATTACATGATTGCACCCCAAACTTTCTAAACCATAACTCTTGAGTGGCTACAACAATTTGCTTCCATGAGAGATAAGACTGATCGTACATGATCCTAATAATCTCTATGATGCAGGTGACAGGCGTCTTGTGGCGAATAAATTTGCTTAAGAAAGAAATTAGTTACAAAAAATTATGTAGCATGAAGAATAACATAATACAATGTTAAAAATAACATACAAGTCCCCTTCTGGCAGCAAATGTTCCCTAGGGGCAAGGAGATGACAGGCTATGCTCAAGAGGTGTGCCAGTAGCAGGTTGCGGAGTAGATGCAGAAGCAGCAAGCATCGCAAGGGATGGGGCAATAGCAGGTGCAGGGGCAAATATAACAGGAGGGGTGGTAGCAGCGGATGCAGAAGCAGATGTCATAGGAGGGTGGCAGCAGCGGGTGAGGCAGCAGGTGTCACAAGTGGTGTAGCAGTAGTGGAAGTAGAGCCCCACGTGATGGTTGATCAAAGTGTTTTTTTTCGTATGAGGAAGCTCTCCTCATTAGAGATAGTGAAGAAGCCTCCGGATTTTTCCATCTTCAAAGTAACGAGGAGCGGGAGTTAAAACCTGGGATTTACATTGAGTGGGAGAAGTTATTGGATTTAAATGGACGGAGAAAATTAAGATAGGAAAAATTAAGTTTGGCGAGGCTACCAAACACCCCCTTAAAGTGATTTTTACTGTCATAACATTCATTTCTCCAGTTTTAAAACGGATTTAATCATTGTAAGATACAACTGTATTCATAGCTGCAAATTTATGGCTATGGTAGGGATTTAAAAAAACCGTTCTGCCTTTGTGGCAAATAGCTACCTCAACGAAATTATAAAGATTTTCTGACCGTTGCTGGTAACTTTGAGACAGTAATAATAACTTTACTCTGTTACCATAGCTTTTTTCTCCAATAGACGATCATCAAGATTCAAATAATTCTCACCACACAATAATATGTATATTTTTAAATTTAAATTAAAAATTCAAGCCGCCAAGCTACAAAATTAAGAAAAATTATTGCATACGGACACCGCATGCAGAGATGCATGAGGTGTTCGATCCGGACCGTAGATCACGGTCAGGATGTATTTCGGTGGGGCTCACTTAAAAAAAAAATTTTAAAAAAAAACTGAAAATACATCCTGACCGTAGATCACCGTGATCTACGGTCATGATCGGACACCACATGCATCTCTGCATACAGTATGCGGTGTCCGTATTTAATAATTTTTCCAAAATTAAGGGAATATTAGAAATTATTTAAGAGAATAATTAAAGGTTCATAATGAAAATGCCTGAACAAAAGCCCCGCTTTTGCTTTGAAGATATTGAAAATACGAAAGTTCGCTCATACAATACTTCAACATTCTTAGATTTTTCTTTTTCGAAGTTTCACTTATGTAATGGAAAAAATATTGCATCAGGACTCCGTAGGTAGAGTTACGTGCGGAGTTCAATTAAATCACGTCATGTGGATGTGAATGAAAAAAAATTCATCTGGTAACACAGGGGAATATTCTCCAGTGTTATTTCATGTTATTCAGGTGTTATTATGTTCTGAGAATATTCCCGGTATTATAATAATACAATAATACATCAATAACACTTGAATAACACACAATAACACATGAATAACACACAATAACACCTGAATAAAATGGAAGGAATATTTTCTTGTGTTACCGAACATATTTTATTTTTTTTCTCTCACCGTCACGTCGCGTGATTTCATTGGACTAATGCACTATTGTTCAATTTGTGTTATCACGAGAATGTAATCTCAAACTTTTCAAATAACATGATATTTGAAATTAAAATTAGTAATTAATACATGTCGATCGGTCACTTGTCTTGCTAATCACCAGTTGTGTAGTAATTATCATCTTAACGGTCGCCTGCAATCCTCTAGAGTGGAATTTTTATTTGCTGAAATTTTTGTTTATAATTATTTTTGCGACCAAATTTTTTGTCTCTACTAGTTTTTAACTTATAACCCAAATTATACGACACCACGTGGGATATATTTTTAATTTTTTTATAATTATTTTTATGGTTAATGACTATTCTTTTGTCTGATGAGATTTATATAATCCAGTTTTTAGTATTTTTCCAATAAATTACTCATCTCAACATATCATTGCATTATTTAATAGTAGGAAAGAATCTTTGTAACATTTTATATAAACATTTACAGCTATAAAAACTCGTACTATGTTCTAGCAGAGGATTTTAAATCGTTG